TGTGGCATGTCCCTCTCCACTGTATTAACAATATAAAGACATCATTGATAGTCCTCCGCATTCATATTAGTCATGCCAAACCACCTAACTGGGTCAGTGTGTGTGGCCCTGGGGACACATCAAAAACCTTCAGAAGTTCAGACTTCAGAAGTTTTACAGGTTCTAATGTGGGTGTTTGGAGAGTGTTTGGAGGTTTAATTCTTAGTTCTTGTTGTTCTTTTCATCTATATTAACATCTCTTATGATCTGTTCTCACTTTTTAAGCCTTTACATCTGCCAGGCATTGCTCTATTATTATACCATAAAGCAGGCGGTTCATTGTCACCTCACAGCTCGAAGGTCCTGGATTTGAACCTGCTGCTCAGCTGGAGACTCTCTGTGTGAAGTTTGCATGTTTTCTGTAAGTGCTCTGGCTCCCTCTGACAGTCTAGAGACATGCATTGTAGGTTATTTGGTGATTTTATATTGGCCATAGATGTGAGAGTGAGGAGTCATGGCTGTTTGTCTGTCTGCGTTGGCCCTAATGGACTGTCCTGGGTACACCCTGTCTGTCTGTCTATGTCAGCTGGGTGAGGCTCCAGCTCCCCAGTGACCTTCCCAGGATAAACGCGTACAGCGGACGGGTTGATGGATACAATAAAGCAAACTATTCAGATGTTGCACATGAAAAACCTCTCATGATTTAACCACCCCTTCCACTGAAGCTACAAGAATTGTTGACATAGTTTTGTTAGCAACATCAAAATATAGACATTTCTGGCAAACATTTGCTCAAGAGAGAAAGGAAGGAAAAAAGAGGCAGAGTCTACTATTTAGTAATGCTTTATCTCTGGATAGGCAAATACTATCAATGTCTGCATCATTTGTTGTGTCATGTTAACCACATTTGCTCGCTTTTTATCATTTGTTGAAGCTGAATTATTAAAAAATGTTATATTGTTGCCTGGCACCTCTGCAGTAGCACACCTGTTTGGACAATTTAACCCTATTGAGGACTTTGGTTTAGGTGACAGGTATTGTTATGTTTTTTAAGGTTTTTTTTTAAATATAAAAAGCAGGATCTTTGTTATGCATTTGGAACCAAAAATACGTCAACTTATCAGAGAATGTCTTTAACATAGTATAAAAGTCTATACTGAATACCAACAAATATTTTGCACATATTCTTTCTTGGGTCCAATGGCCCCCGATAGACCTTCTACGTATGGCAACATGAAAGTCTTGAATAGGGTTAAACTTATGGGCAACTTACAAAAAGAATCTTATGTTTTGATTCATTTATCAGAGCAGAGACAAGTTAAAGATCGGTAGGACTGTGAGCATTAGATAATTACCTGCAGCTCACCCTGTGCCTTCCCTCCCCATCCTTCTCTGTAGATGGATTGCCATTGCGGATATGGATGTGAATGTCAAAGTAAATATGCAAGGTGGACTGACTGCGTCGGCACTGAAGAGCCCTTGGAAAGGTACTTGAATGGCCTCATGTTCTCAAGTAGCTCTACCTTGCAATGGAATCATCTTTTATCATGCAAACATTTGCTTTTGTCAAACAAAATGACCCTTTCTGTTTTGTCTACTTGTTGTCCACGGTACAATATTCAGTAGAATACATCCTAGACACTAGATCAGAGACAAAAAAAAACAGCACTGGGTGTGAAAAGCCTCGTTTTTGTCAAAGTAAAACCTTCACTTCTTAAAAATTGTACTGGATGTTACATGTCTTTTAGCTGTAGCCACAACTGAACTGTGGTCAACCAGAGAGACAAATTTGATTGCTAATCTTGAACATATAGACGTTATTATGAATTCGGTATCCTATTTCATACTGAGAAACAGTGTGGAGTCTGTGGTCTTGTTTACTTCAAGAAATGACATTTTCAAATCAGCTGACAGGAGAATGCCAACTACAATTGAGGCCTGCTCAGTCTTTCCATATGGTTGTTTTTGAACAGGACTGACAAGTATTTCTCCAGTCTTTCTTTGGCACACTACAACATACTGCATCATTGTTTAGGTTGCCTGAAGGTTTTGTCTCCGAGGTTACAGGGAGAGCACTCAATTCCCTTAACAGGTCATGGATATGAGCGTTTACAGGGAAACAGAAGTATACATTATGTTTCATATGATCAACAAACAATTAAGTCTAGTAAGCAACGCAAGACCTAAAAGTGAAAGAAATCCTTAATAAAGGATGTGAAAGCTCAGTGTTGCAACATCAGGATCCAGCTTGACTAAGAACATCTCTGCTGCCTAATTACAGTATTCAGTAGAAAGTTAGTTTTCCTGTGAAAGAAAAAGAAAGGGGTCATAACCTAAATTAAGACAAACAAAAACCTAACACATAACAACTCATATAAAGCGACAGTTGCGTTAATATTTGAGGCCAAAAGCGCGTACAGAGCGTGCTGTGTCAGGGAAAGACCCATCGGCAGAGAACAAAGGGGCTGCGTTCCCTTCAGTGAATGCCAATGGGATGCAGGGGGCAGAGTGTATTACAGATCAACCGCTGATGTAAGCAATCACACTGACCTATCAAAATGCCAAGTACAATGGCATTCAAGGCCATAAAAGCAAATTGTTTGCTTTATATCGGAAAGCAGGTGTTGCAACTGTTTCACAATAGAGATGAAATAAACTGTGGATAATGAGACCAAACACAGTGACTCATTTGTTACAGTTAGAATCCCTGATGACATGAAGTCACCGTTAGGCTTTCTTTTCCATAAATATCGAATTGTATGCTTTAATGTAGACAAATTACACATCTTTGAATGTTCAGCTGACCCCAGCTAGAAAGCTCTCCAAGCTACATGAGCAGTTAACTGGAATTAATAACTTAGAAGTGCATCAACTGGTAGACAGTTAGGAGTCATGTAATAGAGTACACAAGTCTATTAAGAAACCCTGTGAGGTCTAATGATAAATCTAGTACAATATTCTAAAGTTTCCATTATATTTTGTTTTTGTTTTTGTTTTTTTGTTTAAGGTAATGAGACTTTAGGGTAGATTTTTCTGGACAGTCCTGAATGACTTTCATAAAGAAAGTTCTGAGAAGCAGCTGTAAATGGTGTCTTTAACAGAGGTGGGGCATTAATCAAACCTCCGTATGTTCAACTAGGAAGTTTATCGTCATCTTTTCTATTGTTAAACTGAAAAACACAGTTTGAAAAACATGTCCAATAAAGCATACATCTCAGTTCATGTTGCTTGACCAAGTAAGCTTTCCAGCATCGTTGTGGCGTTCCAAGACATAACGGGCACATTAACATCCCTTGAGGCAAGAGGGTGGAAAACACCTCATGGTATTTGACAGTTGGTTGAAAATGCAGTTGTAGTTTAACCCAGCAGCCACACCGGGCCAGAATGCATCCTATTCCAAAATCAAAAACAAACTTTAAGAAACAACACAGAGATGAAATTGACGCTTGACAAAACAAAAGACTTAACTAACTAGTTGGTTTGGCGAATACACATCTGGTTAAACTCCAGACCTCTGTTTAAGTATTGCAAACTGAAAGTTGCCAAAGTTTTCAATCAGACCATCCATGGCTGCCTCCATGAGACAGTCTAGTGTTCGTATTGTAGTTAGCTACTATCACAAAGCCAGACCTATCTCTACGGCTGCGTCAGCGCTGGAGAATGATCTGGCTGCACCTGTTATTATTCTGTCAAAGAAAACAGAACGACACAGACATCTGAATGTTGCATTAAACTGGCAGCATAAATGGCAGGCTTATACCAATAAACTACATCTGTTGAGCGAGACTAGCATTTAGTTTTCCTGTGCGTACCTGAAACTGAACAGAGACACTCTTAGCTTTCTGGTTATAGCTGGCATCATGCTGAAATACATCCACAAAATTGTGAAGGAAGTGACCAAATATAAGGTTGCGTCATTTAGCACTTGCACTCACAAGAGGAACAGCTGAATTCCCCGTGAAGATAACTTGAAGTCATTAGACACTGAAGTCAATCTAAAGACCATGTAAAATTGGAAAGTATACATTTATTTATTCATTTTTGTTCCAGAGAACTTATTCAAAAATGTTTTTGGAACACACAATATGAAGTGTTAATAAAGTCTTGCTTTTGCATGCGACTCCCTATAATATGTATTAGTGTCTCTGGTGTCACCTGGCCAAGGAGCCCACACACACTGATATTATTACTACACAAAAATTTCTGCACAGCTCAGCCGATCCGTAGCCGTCTCCGCTTGCTGCTAAGTAATGGTATATTGCCAGACTTTCTTGAGACTACCTTCAACACATGCATACACAAAACATAAATCCTCACAACACTCGCCTTAGAGATGCGGCTGTCAGGCATGCAGTTCCACAAGGGCACCTGTTCACCTTTCGACCATTAAAAAATTCTTTGCTGACTCTGTGTCTGCTGCTCAGTATCCTGTTAAGTCTGAAGTGGGCCACATAAAAACACAGGGGAAGTATGTGCCCAAAGGCAGAGCATATTTCTTTCAAAAAAATAATAAAATATTATATCAGATCTCATATAGAATATATACAAATGCACACCACATATGTACAAAATACATGCATGCACTCACACGAACAAACTATGAGGTGTCAATAAATACTAAGCGTGTATACTTTCTCGCAACTTGAACCTCACCTACTCCTCTCTCTCTTATTTTGTCATCTTATCTAGTTTATGCTCCTACATTTCATACTTCCCCCTTTAAGTACAGAATGTGAACCCTAATGGCTGATCATCAAGCAGCAAGAGCAGTCACATCAGATCTGATTTACAATGGAGAGCTACAAAGATAACACCTAAGACATTAAGAACAAAAGCTGTTTTCACACAAATGACGGCATTCCAGCGCAGCACAAACATGCAGGCACGAATACAGACACACAGAATCTGCACAGTCATCAAACCAGATGATTCAAACAGATAAACACACACGCTCACAGTCACACATGTGAACTGTGAAGACAATTTGTTGCTCTACAAATTATTAGAATATTCATTCTTACCCTCCATAGGCTCCAAAAGTGAAACTCCTCTTTCTCTGCGGCATACTGGCTAATAGATAGCAGTGAGTCAGTCAACTCAGAGCTGAATGGAGCCAGCACTTGTGTCACTTACGCTGACTGAGCATGTGTGTGTGTGTGAGATGTGTGCGTGTCAATGTGTGTGTTTGTATGCTTTGCCTGCCGTCTGAGTTCCACTCCCCCCCCAGCCTAGAGTAACGTGCCCTGCCTCTTCCTTGCTCACACGCCTCCTTCACAAACAGGGGAGAAACGGCGAAAGGATGAGGGAGGACGGGAGGGGGAGGGGGCTGGAGCGAGGGCTGCTGACCATACCAGTCTCCCAGGGAACCAGGACTGTTGTGGCAGTCACGTACAGCCTATACCTCCTCCCTTATACCTCCAGAAAACAGAGATCACCGAACTAACACGGGTCACATGAGGGAATTCCTAATTCCTTGATACTACAATATAAAAATGGCTACAGGCAAAGATCACAGAGGAGTTCTTGGCATTCTGAGAGTGCATAGAACGAGTCTAGCAACACTTCCTCACTCTGTCACTGAAAGACAGCTGGTCAAACAAGCTGTAGACACCAGCGCAACAGTTCATCAGTCTTCACAAATGTCCCAATCACAGAGCCTTGCCCCAGGTTAGCAGCTCCTCTCTTGCAAGTCGTGACCTCTGAACAAGTTTCTAATCTGCTCATTCATCTCTCTCCTAATTCTTTCCCTTTGTAAAGCCCATCACCTCTGTTATGCACACAAAAGGAGGGTTAATGTAGCACAGACTTGTCCCGCATTACTAATAGCCGCATCGATTAAGCAGAGTAAATGTCTGGACATAGAGACTCTGCATTTGCAGGCTGTTGTGTCTGATAAACTGGCAGCAGTGACAAGAATGCATTAATGCAGCCATAGATTATTGAATAAAGTAGGACTGCAGTCGCAGCCGTCAGCCAGCTATCTGATAGACATTCACTTCCAAAGCATTCGCACTATGCAGGATGAAAAAGACTCCTGTTTGCATGGCCAGCGTCCAGCAGCACAGACATATGATACAGGGAAAAGCTGTGTTTTTAGTTGACAACAGTTAATTGAACCCTAAACCGTGAATGAATAAAATCTCACCAATCAAGGACCTTAATCTCCCCAAGGACCAATGATGTCTTCATCACATTAACTGCAAAGCACTCATAGCAACGAAGCAGACAAGCACTTAATTAATTAATGGGCCTACCAAACAAGCGCAATCATGCTGATAGGCAATTACATCATCTCTCCACAATTACGTCACCCTTTTCCTCTCAGAGAGCAATTGTCTCCAAAACATTTCACCACAGTCCTTGGCTGACTTTGTTGGTAATGGACTTCACTTTGTCTCTTGGCCATGCTGCAATTTATCTAACTGGATAGATCTTTGACCGATAGAAACTTGATTGACAGCAATTACTGATTTGACTGACGATTTGTTTTTAGCCATGTGAGGGGCTTGGCTCTGGGGATGGTCCTCTCTGTCTGTCTGACTGTTGGCTGTACCATAATTTTTGAAAAATCTCTTCAATGATTTTGTAATGACATTTTGTGCAGATATCCATGTATATTAACATATCCATGTTCACAAAGGATGACACCTTCTGATTTTGTTGATACCCTGACTTTCCCTCTAGCACCACCATGAGGCTGACTGTTTTGAGTGGAATCTGATAAAATCATTCATGCCCCCATAAAGATGAATTAAAATTATAACTTTGGTGACTCTTTAAACCTTATAAGGTCAAAATTGGGCTTTGCATTTGGAGTTAATTAGTCTGTTTTAGAATACTGACATACTAAACTAAGATAGTGACCTGCTAAATATCAACTCAATAGCACTGTCACTGTGAGGATATTTGCATGATGGCATTAGCACTCAGCTCAAAGCACTGTTGGGCCTATGTACACTCAAAGATAAAAACTTCAATTCACTGATTTAGATTAAACTCTTACATTGCAAACATTAATTTTGCTGGGTTGGGTTGACATACTAATGTTGGTAATTGCATCAACTTAACACTGTGTGTAATTTAAACTCAAATGTCTGCATTAGCTGATTAAAAACTAAATTAAAGCTGATGTAACTAATGAAACTGGCTCAATAATCTGCCTTGAAGTCAGAATTTCAATTCCTCTTCTCCACCAACTTAAAAATGGAGCTTTTTAAAAAAAAATTTGCTAACTTAATAACTCCTGTTCATGATTATAGTAATTAGGTTAAAAAAACACACAAATTAAATTTGAAGGTTATGGAAATACTTTTTGGAGCAACTTAGTTTTTCATGAGTAATCAACTTCAAGAGTTGAGTTTATGTGACCAATCATGACGTAATTCAAAATGCCTTTGATTAAGAAGGGAAAGTTTATCTCCTTAACTCAATGTTGGTTGTTGTTTGAACACAATTTCATAAGAAGTTGTCGTAGCTCAAAACGATTGATGCAAACTGTTGCGGTAATTTTTTTTGTTACACCCATATTTTGACTCTTGTACAGAGTGCCCCCTAGTGTTATATTTTCATTTCTATTTTCACAATGGATAAATAAATAATGCATTTTAAAAATTATAACGATCTAGTTTGTTTGTCAGTGAAGATGCTCACTGATTAAAGGAGGAACTGTAAATAAGCTGACGTGAGCCATGATCCATTGGTCCTAGTCAGATTGTTAAAAAGGCAAAAGATAGTATTTTTTAGAATATCTGATCAAATTATGCAATCTTTAATGATCAGTCATTATTAAAATAAATTTGTCAGGATAAGCTAAGGAAATGTCATGAATTGTAATAAAACTATGTAAAATTGTCACCTTAGAGATCTTTCATATACCCAAAAATGTTTATAACTTACTTGACATACAAGGAAATCATCAACCAAACAATTAATTCAGTTACTTTAAGAAACAGACAGCTCTCCGGCTCCTCAGTATCCCCACAGACTGACTTTATTTAAGTGCCACTCTATTGATTTAGCACATCAGTCTTGGTGCTACCTTTACTGCTGTCTGCTTTCCTGACAATTCAATTAACTAAAGCAGCTGCGGTGTGTGTGTGAGGCATCAGAATGGGCAGCGCGCAGACAGAAGCCTTTAATCACATCACCTCAGGAACAAGGCCCAGTCCTCCAAGTAGCTCTGGCTCCTCTTTTGTTTTAAAAGGAAGTGGACAAGCAGGAAGACGGGCAGGAAAACTCTTCAGAGGACAAAAAAAAAAAAAAAGGTGATCCCTGCCCGACAGCCATATTGTCCAACTACTGATACCACAATATCAACAAACCCCACTAGTCCCTCTATCTCCTGTGGTAAAATGACCATTTGCCTGATTCATGTACAGCTGAGCAGTCGCAATATTCATCATCGACATGTTTAAAATCATCCTGAAGCCCTAATGATGGTTCTTTCATAAACCAACACTGATGGATGGTATTGTTACTGCAGGTGTGAATAGATGTGAGTTGTCTCCTCCCATTTGCAGTCTGTGAATGGGAAAATACAGCCCCATAAACTCAATAATTTATTTCCAGTCTAGGCTGTGGAAATGGTAGCAGTGAAAGTCGGGCAGATGTTGAGGCAGAGTTAGTGTGTGGCATACGAGGGACGAGGAGTAGACACAATAGAGGCGAAGATCATTCGTTCATGCTCAGTGCTGCTTTCATGAGGCAGGAAATGAGCGTTGTGCCTGTCTAAGGAGAAGCAGATGCTGATTAAACGAGCAACACTTGGAAAGGCTTTTGTTGAAGGAAGGTGCTTGTAATTTATCATTTCTGTTGAAAAGAAACTCAATTTTCTACATGTATGAGTTTTCGTGTGTTTAAGGCCACAGACAAACATCATAAATCAACTGCGGTACAAAGTAATATGAAGTTAAGGGCGACGTCTAATCCTGCTGACTCAACAAAAGCTTTATTCAAATAGGAAACAATGCAACAATTCAGCTCTGTTTATCCTTATTAAAATTTAACTTATTCTGTAATGTATGGGTCTCACGGTTTATTCTTGTAGCCGTTTTTGTGGTTTGGTTTAGATAAATGTTTTGTTTCTGATTTCTGTGAAATAAAAAAAAAAAAAACTCTTTTCAAGCTCCTACAGCCTCAAATCACTATAAAAATACACCTTAATGAGTCGTACCTACTTTTAAATAATCATTTTGTTCTATATTTATGAGAGGTTCTCATATTTATTAATATTCAGCATGAGGGGGTCAAGCAGGGGCTGTTTGAATTTGGACAGGACCTCTAGTTTAAAAAGGTCTCAGTTAATCATTCCACAATATTTTGACTGTATTGGGAAGAACAAACTGCCTATGGCCACTGTATACATTGTAAATATTTTCCTGATACTTGACTCAACAAGGAGCATACATATAGCTAGGTATTTGGAGAGGGTCAGCATGTGGAGGAAGGGGTACCATACAAATATTTGAAGGCAGTGAATATTCAAAGGGCAATTGTGCTTTGAAGCGTGAGGAAATAAGCTGAGCTTTATCTCTGAGAGTATTTCATATTCATTACACTTTTCCAACTTCAGCAGCTTACTGAGTGTAAGAGTGCATGACTGGTGCCAGGGCAGACGTAATTATTTGAAGCCACTTTGTTATTTTTAGACGTTTCGAATTACCTGTCAAGCCACACTGGACAGAAGAGGGTCTATTACCTCACTTCGGTTTCTTTCGTTTTTTTTTTGTCAGTTCGAGGGATTTGAAGGGACTTTTAATATTAAATATGGTTTGTAATTCAATGCCTTCTACTGCAATTTATGCAGAATTTACATCAGTTTCACATCCTGGATGTTCTAGACATGCTGGGAGAGCAGGCTCCTCCATCAGGCAGGGGAAAATAACGCAGCTGCAAAGAAGTTGCAGTGGAGATTGTTGACTGGCTGACTGGGAGGAGTGGGTGAGTCCAGTGAACCATCCTCCTCCCAGCGGGGTCACGTGGCCCTCAGGCCCCTCAGGACACCGACACAAACACACACAAACACTGTGGCCTTTCATAGCATCCACGTTTTGAGGGTCAGGATACTATGAAGAAAAGAGGTGCTGTTTCAACGTGCTCAAATCAAATGATTATCCCACTTTTTTGAGCTTC